GAAGCATGTTGGAAATTGGAGAGTTTCTTTATATCCAGTGGGTATTCCATTATTGATATTTCTGTGCTTGAGCTCCTAGGTATATACACTGAGGGAGGGGGTTGTGTTGTTGGATTTTTTAAACTATAGATTGTGGAAAATGCAACAGAAGTAGCTGTAACAGGTAATGGTGGGTGTGCATACTCAAGAGTCTCTGGTAAGAAAGAACAGAATTAGGAATTACAGCAGGAAAATCTCACTATTGGACTATTTAAGACTAAAAGATATCATGGGCAGGTTACACTTTAAGTGGACTGGCCCTTTAAAGTGGTAATAAAGTGGTAGTAAAGTGGTAGTAAACTCTTATTTGTAAATTTTACCTGTAAGTAGGCTTATAATAAAGCTTCCCTGTAGGTAAAATGAATATCTCCCAAATGTGTACCGTGTAGGATATATTCTCTTTTTTTAGAGAAAAAGGTACAGCAGGCCTGACATTCCTTCAGAGTAATGTGCCCTAGCCTGGGGCTCCTGTGCGCATGCATGGTAGTGATGTCATCGCTGCCTGGCCTATCAGATGGCCAGAGCTTGCAAACCTGGAAGGAAGACCAGAGGAAGATGGAAGCCTCTGCAGTGGTGACAGCGCTCTGCTGAATGGTTTTGTTTTAAGGTAAGTCCTACATAATGTGCTAGTATGACATTACCTTGCAGGGGATTTTTTTTCTTTCTTCTGCGGTTTACTACCACTTTAAACATTTTACTGCAGCGTGCCAATTTTTTGATGTGGTGGCTGCATTATTTTGGTTTTCTTTCCATTTATTCTCGCCTAATGATCTGGCCAATAAGTTTGTTGTGTTTCAACAGAAAAAGCTGTGCTGCAGATGTGGGTTTGAGAGGGTCAGTTTATATTTATTTATGTAAAACCTTTATCCCAAAAAGTAACAAAACTGTTTGCTATAACTGATTATAAAATGTTAGCTGGAGTTCAGCTTCAATTTGTTTGTGTATTTAAATCTGTTAGTACATCTAAAACTCCTTCCCCCAGATTAACTGCTGCTGTCCAAAAGTGCCCCGATGCTCTTTAATCCAGAGTAGGGGCACTCTAATACAAGAAAGGGAGAATGTCACCGGCACACCAAGGCTCACCAATGCGGGTTGAAAAGTTTTAATGAAGGATCACATAGTTACAGCTATGTGATCCTCAATTAAAACTTTTGGACCCATATTGGTGATCCTTGGTGTGCTGGTGATGTTCTCCCTTGCTGATGCTGTTCGGTTCCAGCAGTCATTCGCTGCAGCACCCACTTATACACACCACCATTTTTAACGCAGGAACGTATGCGTTGGGATTGTACACTTGCACTCTAATACAAGAGGTATGTTACTGGCCAGGTGAAAACAGAGTGAAAAAAGAAAACTAATACAGCCACCGCATCTAATAATTGGTAAGCTGCAATATATTACATTTTTAGTTTTGCATTTAATACATATGTAAGCTTTTGAAGCATTTATTAGGGTGGTATGGCCGTGCAGTGTAAAAATGTGGTGCTTTCAGTGCAAGGAGTGCACAGGTAGAGGGCTGGCGTCAGCTTGTTGGAATCAATGACAGGCTGGAATACATTGCAGTTGTACTTGGCTGAACACTGTTCAAAGTGGTACTATTTAGGGCCGTATGCATTCAGGGATGTCCACCCCAAATGCAGAATTCCTGTGTTTGGGGCAACTGCCCTGGTATTTTTTTCACCTCACTAGAGCAGAAGTCTGTGTAGAAAAAAACAGCCAGTTAAAAAAGTTAGATCAGGGTTCTACCTATTCTAGTGTTAGGATTGCAATACACAGTGCAACTTGATTGTACAATTACATTTACCAAAACTATGTAATATGAGGACAAACCTATACAATGCAATCAATTTCTATCCAGTTACATAGGTCCTTATGCTGCATAGTTGTTAGTAGATATAAAGGAGAGACTGTACAATAAGATTGTGTAGTATTTGGCCAGTTTAATGTGACCATATACTATACAATTTCCTTAGATCTACCATCAACTATGTCATACAAGTGCCTGTCTGACTAGATACTAATTGAATGAGTTGCTTAGGTTTTTCCTCCTATTATATACATAGTTTTAATACATCAAAAGGAGATTGTACAATCGGATTGTATCGTATATGGCCATCTTAGGTGTCAGTGTTGAGACCGCAGTACGTATATTTATGTTGGTTCTTTAAGTGGTTATACCAGAATGATGCCTGCAGCCACAGGCATCATCCTGGTATTGTTTTTTTCTGCAGGCAGTTGGCTTTTTTGTAAAATTAATCTAATTAGCCTCAGGATTGCTTTTACAGGCAGTGGAAATGGTTTCCCCTCCCTTCTTGCCACCTACCAGTGCCTCTCTGGGTTCTCTGTCCCACCGGACCATAAAGCTTTTCCAGGACCAAAAGGTTCCCAGCTCTATGGTACAGGAAACCTGGAAGCGACTAGAACGTTGTCACTTCTGGTTTCCCCGGATGTGCCGTTTTTAAATTGGTGTGATCAGATGCTTTCCCAATCTTGGTGAGATCAGATGGTTGTAAAGGCAGAGGAGACATCTGGGGTCTAATAGACCCCATATCTCTTCATAAAGAGTACCTGTCACTGCCTATTGTGGTCACATAGGGATGTTTATATTCCTTATGAAAGCAACAAAAGTGCTAGAAAAAAAAATTAACGAAGCAATGTAAAAATAAAAAAATAAAATAAAAAATAAATTTTTTTTTTAAAAGTGCCTCTGCCCCCTGTGCTCACACGCAAAGTTGAACATTTGTGTTGGCCCCGCATGCATATGTAAACGACGATCACACCACGCATGTGAGGTATTGCTGCGAATGTCAGAGCAAGAGCAATAATTCTAGCACCGGACCACCTGTGTAACTCTCCACTGGTAACCTGTAAGGGATTTTTAAGCATTGCCTATTGAGATTTTTAAATATTGTAGTTTGGTGCCATTCCGCAGGCGTACGTAATTTTAAAGCTTGACATGTTAGGTATCTATTTACTTGCTGTAACACCATCTTTTATATTATACAAAAAATGTGTATTATATTGTGTTTGTGTGCATTACAATTCAATGAACTTACATTTTTAAAAAAAAATTCCCATTCGAAAAACCAGTGGGCAAATACTGTATGACATTAAAAAAATGGAAAAACATAGCATTTTATTCTCTAGAGCACAGATTTCAAACCGACGGCCCTCCAGCTCTTGCCAAACTACAAGTCCCATGAGGCATTGCAAGATTGACAGTTACAAGCATGACTCCCAAATGCAGAGGTATAATGGGACTTGTAGTTTTGTAACAGATGGAGGGCCACCAGTTTGCCACCCCTGATCTAGAGCTTCTGCTGAAAATATGTATAATGTTTAGGGGTTCAAACTAATTTTCTAGCAAAAAATGTAAAAAAAAGTGTCAGAAAAGACCTGGTTTAAAGTGGTTAAGTCAGAAGAAAAAAGGCTTTATGCTTAGTGTCAGTGTGAGCGTTAACCTGGCCAAACACATGTATATTTTTTCCATTCAGTCTGCAGACTGAACAGAAAAACCTTTAAAAGGTGGTCATACACTATACAATCTGATTGTTCAATCTCTGTAAAATCTGCTTTAGATTTACCAAATCTAATAATAGGCGGACACACCTAATTTATCCAATTAATCTTTATCCAATCTGGCAGCTCCTTGCACTACATAGTTGATGGTAGACCTAAAGTAGATCGTATAATCAGATTGCATAGTGTATGATGAGTTTAAGGCTCATGCAGAACAAGAACCTGCCCAATTTGATATTAATGGAGTGGATTGCTTAGGTTTGTCCTCATATTACACAGCTTTGTTAAACCTAAAGCAGATCGTATATTGTATGGCCAGCTTAAAGGATAAGTTCACCTTTTATAACATGTTACACCTGTATTCAGCAGCCCCTGATCCCCGTTGTGACAGCGAGCCAGGAAACCTCTCCCTGCACCTGCTATCACCATTTTTTTTTAAAGGCGGCTGTGTGGGGTTTACAAAAAAAGAGGGTTGTGAAAAGAAATTCACAAAGAAAGCGGCTACATTATGAACAGAATGTGATACTCAGAAAAATTTCCAAAAATTTGCTTTATTACACATACAAATTTGACATATGGGCAATCGCCCTGGTTTACCATCACCTCAGTATGAGACAATACACACAGACCTAAAACCATATAAAATGACACCAGTACCGGTCTAAATACCTGTGCAAAAAGGACAATGACTACAAGAGTCTAAAGTCCCTGTGGCACTGGCGCATAGGTGAACACTTCCCAAAGGAGGTGTATACAAAAAATTATACCATAGGTATACCATAACACGTGTTATAGATGTGTAGACTATGCTACTACCAGAGTGGTTTATATCCCAAACAGGGAGTTTCAAAAAATTATACCATAGATATAAAAAACGGCTGTGTGGGGTTTGCCTACCCGGTTGTGTCATTCATATTTGCAGCTGTCAGGTTGTAAGTCTCAATGAACTATTAGGGAGCTGATGAGCGCTCTAAGTAGTTCATTGATTCTTCCTGACATTGTGTAACTGCCTGCCCATACGAGGTACAAGCAGACAGCTTACACTGACAGTTTGCAGAAGCCTCGCATTGCACCCACGATCTGCTGATCTTGCAGGCTCCTAGTAAAAAAAAAAATAATAAATGCACATTCTTTTTTTACCTGCAAAAAGATGTGCTTCTATTATTTTTTTTACAAAGGTGAGCTTTTCCTTTAACACATTTCTCCATCCACCCTATACAGTGCAGATGAGCCTATCTCCCGCTGTGGCTATTGTATTTTGAGAGACAACCCCACAAGCCATCAAAGTATTTGAACACTGAACAGCAACAGCATCTGACTGGATGCAGACACTGTTCTGCCAAAAATCTTTCTCCTGACTCCTTCAATTTTTCAGTTGAGGGATGTTGTAGGAGGCTGCCAACAGGGTCACTCATTGGGCAAATGTCGGTCAGCTCCTTATGAAATTTGTACAGTGTATGGCTCGCCTTATTGTCAACATATTTAACCAGCTCAGTACCACTGTAATCAGGGGCGGACTGACAACTCATGGGGCCCCTGGGCAATAGGGGATCATGGGGCCCCTGTGTCCTTGCCCACACTAAAAGCACACCAAAAAGGCCTATAAAAAAGGTACCAGGTGCATTTCATGAGGCCCCCTACTGACCCTGGGTCCTCGGGCAGTGCCCGAGTGCTCGAATGGTCAGTCCGCCCCTGACTGTAATATATATATATACAGTGCTGTATTGAAGTGGTTATACCAGGATCATGGTTGAGGCTACGATTATGATCCTGGTACCATTTCCTTCACCTTATGATTCCCTATCAGGTCAGTGTGATCCTAGTGGCTATAGAGCCACTGAATCACTTTTACAGGCAGCGGAAGAGGTTCCTCCCCTCCTACTGACACTGCCACATTTACTGGGCTTTCCTGCCCCACCATCAGGGAGCTTGGTACTGAACAGAGGTTCCAGCCCCTTATATGTGATCTCAGAAACCAGAAGCAATGAGGATTTTGTTCCTTCCAGTTTAGGTTCTTTATTTACTGGCCTTTTACCTGCCAGTGAAGCAGCTGAAATGACCCATCTGCGTCTCTATCAGCTGCGCTGGAGACCAAAGGAGAGATACGGTATCTAATAAACCCCAGATTTCTCCATAAAGAGGACCTGTCATGGCCCATGCTGTTCATCTTCTTAAGATAGCAATAAAGTTGTTAAAAAAAATGAAAGAGACAGTTTAAAAAAATAATAAATGTAAATAAAATAAACAATAAAAATGAAAGAATTTTAAAAGTGCCCCTGTCCCACTGTGCTCACGTGTACATAAGTGCCACATGCATATGTAAATAGTGATCACACCACACACATGTGAGATATTGCTGTGAATGTTGGAGCAAGAGTGATGATTCTACTGCCAGATCTCCTGTACAACTCTAAACTGTAACCTGCAAAGGCTTTTAATGCATCATCAATGGATAATTTAATGTACCGTAGTTTGTCACCAATTTTAAAGTGTGACATGTTTGGTATCTATTTACTCGGTGTAACATCATCTTTTATATTTTACCAGACAATTGCATAGTATATTGTGTTTGTGTTCACTAAAATGCATTAAAGGTTAATTTTCTCAAAAAATCTGCATTTGAAAAACTGCTGCACAAATATCATGTGACATGAGAGAAATGTCAGAAATAGCCAGGGGTTTAAGTAGCTAAAGTGTTACTAAACCCAGAACAGTAAAATCAGTCTGTATGTGCAGTAAAGCATGCTTGTTATACTCACTGTGGAACCTAAGGGGTTAATCATCTGAATTGTGTAAAAAGACCCTTTGATCCTTTCTTCTCTGCCCCTCCTCTTGTTGAAATGACCACCTGATACAGACTGAATCCATAGTCACATGCACATGCACATGCTCAGTTTGGTTATAGAGGTTTATTTTTTCTAGGGAGAGTGCATGTGATCAGCACGGGGCCAATCAGCACTGTCCAGGCAGAGGGTCACATCCTGCTAGAGCAGAAAGAAAACTCCTCCTACAAGCTTTAACCAGTCCTCTGCTGAAGTCACAAGACTGCTCTAACTGCTGATGAGAAAAAGTATTTAGCAGTTTATGTTTACTAAAATAATTGCATTTCCATGTTCTGTGTACTGTGGGAGACCAGGTATAGTGAATGCGGTGTCTTGGGTTTAATAACACTTACTAGGGGTACAAACAACAAAAATGCACTTCCATGGGGTATCCCATGTATGTCAGGAGGAGGAGAACTTATTCTAGATTTTTTTTTATTGGCGATGGGCCATGATAATCACATAAAAATATATAGCTAAATTTTAATAAATGTTTGATTAAAAAAAAAAAAAAGAGATACTAACGCTCACCAAAAAAAAATGAAGGACCAAATGTCCTGAAGATACTCAGTATAATTTCACCCGGGGTGCCTACTTTTACAGGGTGCTGTGGCTGAAATAAATGTGAAAAGCTGATCCAATAGCAAACTACGGGTGAAATAGAGAGGGGATGAGGCTGCCTCAGACATGGGACAAAATTAGCAGGGATAAAAGAATGCATTCATTTGTATGCATAGAAATTAGCATTAGCTTTTTAAGTCAGCAGGCAAAAAGCAAAGGTTAATTGCCACTGTGTTACCCAGTTACAGATTTACTAAAGAAGGGGAGAAATGCCCTCCTACATGTCACCTTTGGTCTGTAATAAATAACACACAACAGTCAGTCACTCCTCTACAAAACTTTATAGGGCATATTCAGTGACCACTCCTTCCATTCTGAAACGTAAAAAACACTTTCGACAAACAACATAAAACGATTACTGGAATTGAAATAAAAGATGTCTGAGTAACAGAAAGTTCACAGATACTTTGCACATTATGAGGCTACGTGAACTGTGAGAAGAGAAAACATCCATCTATACATACATCAAAAATAATATGTGCTTATCACCAGCAACTGGTAAAACACTCACAAAGTTTTAGGCAGGCCATAGACGGACCGTTTATTGGCCGAATTGTCGGCCGATAAACAAAAAATTGGTTGGCCCCATTGCCGAGGCTGCCACCAATGTCCACAAAAACGTCTGTTTTTCGGGGATTTTCCAGCATGACCGATAAAAATAAATGAGGAGGGCCCCACTAACGGCGTGAATATCTGCCGATTTTCGTGCGGATGAAAATTCGGCTGATAAACGACCCGTCTATGGCCTGCATTAGTCTACCTCTACCCCCAAATAAAATGATTGCCACAGGTATATGCAAATTGGTTGCATTGGTCAACTGGCTTATCAATTAAATTAAATTGTATGGAAACCTTAAAGCCGTATTAAACCCCAAACCAAAAATGTACTATATTGCATCTTACCAATCATTAGATGTGGTGGCTGCATTCATTTTCTTTTTTTTTTAGACTTTTCCTCTCTCTGGTTTCACTTTATGATCTGGTCAGTAACTCACCTTCTGTAGTACAGTGCCCCCACTCTGGATGAAGGAGCAACAGAGACCCCTTTGGGCAGCAGCATTGTTAATCTGGGGGGAGTATTAGAATAACTAGCAGATTTTGATACAATAACAAATTCAAGCCAGACTCTAGTTTCCACTTTAGGTGATACTAAAGACTGTTTTTTAAAATAAAAATGTACTTACCTGCTATGTGCAGTGGTTTTACACAGAGCAGCCTAGATCCTCCTCTTCTCAGGTCCCCTGCCAGCGCTCCTGGACCCTCCCTCCTGTTGGGTGCCCCCACAACATGCAGCTTGCTATGGGGGCACTCGAGCAGGTGTGCCCCTAAGCCGCGGCTCTGCATGTTCATTCACACACAGAACCGTGACTCAGCCCTGCCCCTCCCTCTCCTGATTGCCTGACTGGCTGTGATTGACAGAATCCCTCTTCTGTGCTCCTGCTGCTGTCTCAGCCAATCAGGAGTGAGAGTTCCTGGAGAACCGAGGCTCTTGTGGACATCACTGGATCAGGATGGGGCTCAAGTAGGTGTTGGGGGGAGGAGGGGGCTGCTACACACAGAAGGTTTTTTACCTTCACGCATAGCACAACATATTTGAAGACATGGACTTTATAGGCATTACAATATCCATTACTGAAAATTCACCAATAAGACAGTAATCATAACACAACATATTTAAAAAACTTCCCAGACTTCCCAAGTCCTATCAAGTACTTCCTCTGAGGGTCGGATATGACGAAACGCGTCAGTGCGTGACCATCCGTGATGTCGGTACACACGCCGGGACCACGTGGTGAGAGCAAGTGATCGTTGTTTCAAGATCTTAGTTACCAGTGTGAGGTGAGACTGTCACTAGCTGCTGTGGTCGGTGGCCATTTTATTGGAAGTATATATACAATGTGCATTACCATGTTACTCAATGTGAGTGCTTTTCTTAAGGGGGGTTTTCTATGGCAATAAATGATTGTTTTTACAGTATCACGTTATGTGGCTGTTTTATTTTGCCCACATATGGAATTGATATTTCTCAATCTGAATGAAGAGGAGATCGGAGTATGAGATACTAATAATCGATTGATTGGAGCTCTTTTTCGGCTACTGGCTGATTATCAAGTTTGAGATTTCACAACCATTCATTATTAAGGAGATTGATTGAATTCCTACAAATTTTCCACTGCTGGTTACTCACCAGCTTCTGGTGAGTGTTGAATCCAATGGGGTGTTAATCACTGCAGGATCACATGGATGGTGGATCACTTTATCTTAAAGAGACACTTACTACTGGAATGAATTGAACTTTTCACATTATAATTTTATTTTATAATTTTATCATTTTTGGTGGACGTTTTTTCTTTCCTTTATCCTTTTATATCAATTGGACATTGTGCTTTGACATAGAGCTGTTTATGTGTACTTTTTTTAGCCAGTGTTTATAGATTTTTTTTTGGTATTTAAAACAGCAGCTTGGTTTAAATATTTAATTACTGGTTTAATAATTTTTAGTTTATTTTTGTATACCAATATTTTCACCATTACTTTGAGCACGGGGATATAGGCTGGTTTCATCCTATAAATAAAAAGAAAATAGCTGACGTGCCTAAACGCATTGAGCATTTTGGGTTTTTATTTATTTCAATGGCCAGAATAAACTAATATTCTTGGAATTGAAATAAATAAACGGCCAAGTGCTTGACGCCTAAATGTGCTTGAAAAAAAATGTGACTTAGGAGCTTTTATGCAGCTGCTTTTCTCCTGCCAAGAGAAAAACATTTAGAAGAGCACCAGTGTGCATGAAGCCCTGTAATCAGTTATAGCAACAGTTTTATTTTGGATACAGGTTTACATAAAGAAATAAAAGCTGAACATTGCAAGCACCCCTGTCAGTTGTAAATGGTTTTTCTCATCTCTCTAACTGCTACATCTGAAGCACAGCTTGTTCATTTGAAAGACAACAGACTTACAGGTCAGACCACTAGGTGAAAGAAAAAGAAAAAAAGCTTAAAAAAGAAAACTAATGCAGCCATCACATCTAAGAATTGGAAAGATGCAATATAATAAATATTGGCAATTTAATTTTGCTTGAGGCTGGGTTCTCACTAATGTGGTGTGGTACATCACATGTGATTCGTACAGGAAC